CCACACCCAGTGCTCCAAAAAGACTTCTCTATATGAACCTACAGTTCAATGGAGACCAATCTACAGAAATACTGAGAAATCGGCTCTCCCGCTCATTGAAGAAAACCTTCGTTGCAGCTGAATTACGACTGACGTTCTCTGCGAGACCAATGATTCGTATGTCCGTGAAGGATAAGCTACCGCTGTTGGCCTCATCTATGTGCATCTACCAATTCACCTGCTCGTGTGGAGCCAGGTATATCGGCCGTACTCAGCGTTCGCTATCCAAACGCGTCAACGAACATTTACCTTCATGGTTTTATAAAGGAGAAAACCGATGCCCCTGCAGCTCGATCCTTGAACATTTGATCGACTCTGGACACCAAGTCAAACAAGAAATAAACTTCAAAGTTATCTACAGAATACAAGGCAATCTTGCTAAAAGTGTACGGATCAAACTTCTCCACATCGCAGAAGCAATGGCAATTCATCTGCTAAATCCTGAAGTTTGCATACAAAAGAAATTCGTTCATTCATTAAATCTACAATGGACGTAATCTTTCTTACTAATTGTATTATTTTGTCTCTTGCATTTTATTATTTCACATCTTCACTTATATTATTCTCTACCCCACCCTTTTGTAATCTCTACCCTCATTAACAATGTTACTAACTTGACCCACGTCCAATTTCTAGTCAACTGAGTTACGTCATCCGATTAACTTACTTATTTTCAACTGTATTATTCTCTAACCCCACCCGTACTTGATTTTAAACACCACTCATTAACACTGTTTCCAACCTGACCTCATCTGAATTCTACTCACTTAATCAATTCTATTTTATTTTCCATCTTAACGTTTGTTTCCAAGCCAAAAATTACTTATATTACATAATTATCTAAACTTTATAAATCTAATGTACACACACACAAACAAAATTGTATAAATATGCGATTGTACAGCTAAGTGAATGAATTCGCCGAAAAGAGTCTCTTCGCTGAACGCCTTCTTTTCTTTTAGGCTTAATAGTTCGAATGTTTATCTCATCAGCTATGTACAGTAGACGAATACGAAGTCTATTGGAAGGATTCGGTGGGATACGATGAATTACTTTGAAAGCTATCGTTTTCCCCACTACATGACCACTATCAACTAAATGTTACAAGATGGAGCTACAGATTGTTTTTGTTTATCCTTCGCCAAACCACGATGGGAGATGTTCAGTAATACGTTGGCTAAGCTGTCTAGTAGTAGGCCCAAAACAACTGTCACCGCAAGAGTTGACCTAATCAAAATACACACAGATGTGGCAAAACTATCTGGCTTATCCTCCGCTTGAGTCGCAATCATTTGTTGGCTAGAGAATGACAAACATAGGTATGCTGCGTAAAACGTTCATCGTATTCTCCCGGAAAGTCTCTGGAATAAAATCTCACTTGACAAGTCACCATTAAATTGTAACTTAATAAACAGGAATTTTTACGTTCAGTCATCGTCTCAGGTTTTCTCTCCAATGTTTTCATATGTTTCTTTATGAAACTAATCGGATGGCCCATTACCGTCAAGGAATCATGAATATATTCAAAGTTTTCGTTATTCTTGTTATCACAGATCGCCTCACTTTTTATTCTTATTATTATGACTGATTGCACAATTCATATGCACAATCTTATTATCCAATTGACAAAGCACCGTGATTGGTTTATATTTGAATATTTATTTGCAAAGTAATGTGTATTAGAGTTAAGCCTGATGAGATCTAATTGATAACACAATAATGTTCGCTTCAATGTGTTGTTCTTTATTTTTCCATACGAACTAGTGTTCACTGTGTTTCTGCTTGCACTTTCTGCGTTGAAAGCAATTTTGAAATATTGGGAGAAGTCTGATCCCATAGTCGGCCTTCAAGAGGAGTAGTCAGTACTTTGGAATTTGGTGCGTCTAGATAGTTCTGTGAGCGCCGGTGGTGTGACAAGTGAAGTTTCTGATGAGAAAACGAAAGCATGGGTTGCATTTGTGCATTCATTTTAGCCACTGTGTCACGGGTCACTGGATCGAGCTACACCTATTGGGATTCTAGCAGCCAAGTAGCCTCATTACTCCTTACACAATAGGTGTGGCTTGTTGCTAACTGCATATGAGTGCAAGTGGCTGTATGGCGGATATGAGTGATGTGACATGAATTGTGAGATAATAATTTCTGAAACTCGATGCAAATTAATAAATACATGATCTGGATAAACCTTTTTGAAGCAACCCAATACAATCAACCGCATAACAGTATACAGAATGCTGATAACTAGAAAATAAAGATAGAGAATGGCGACATGCTAAGAAATATATTACAGAAGCGTAGAACGTCAGCTAAATAATTCTACGCTTTTGAAGATCTAAGTGAGTTGTAAATTGGTGAATCGCTCAACACTCTGGGAATCCAGTATCACAATTAGTATCACGCTACATACTACAAGGTGAATGTCTTAGTGATCAAGGAAATCAGACCTAGTGCAGTATAAACACCCATAGGAGCAGCATGCTTGAATATTTTAGTTATACACTGAATGCCGTGAAAACACAGAACAACTAAATACTAGAGAAAGTACTTGCACTTCATATGACTTTCTAAGGTATAATGCAGTAACTCCGTTAAAAAATAAACATTCATTTTTAGGAAGCATGCTAATATAAAAACAGACAAGTAGAAAACACCAAAGATGAGTATATCATACTTGCATTACTTGATTGGATAATAATAATAATAAAAAAGTAGAAGGTAATATATAATTAAGGTATGGCTTAAGTGTGTTCTGCTCATACACATTCACAACATGCATAGTAATCCTAAGTAACACATAAATTACACACACTAAATGCACAGTATTACTATTAAATATAAACGAATAACTTTAGTTGAGATACATACATAGTGAGAAAACTAATGTTGCATGTTTACTGGTGAAAATTTCCTCAAGCAGAAATGACATAAGCTCAGTGCATATTATCCATCAGTTAAATAGATTTTCCTGAAATTCGGCCTTCAGGTCAAGAAATATGTCAAGTGTCGCAGAACCTGTCAAAATGTGAATATTTTTTTATCAGTGCGCCTTAGTTCGGACCTGAAATCTGTTTAGTTTTGCTTGAGTTTGTTTATCCCGGGTTTTACTTAGTCATAAAAAGACTATGGGACCTGAAACCGTAGGTACTGTTAGTCAAGCTGGTCCTCTGTGGTCATCGCAGGAAGATTTGTTTTCTTTCTTATGAAAAGGGATGATTAATGATTCATACCAATCTTATAAAACGATCTTAGGTTCTCTTACACTAGGCAGTACTTTAGTTAATCTAGACTAAAATTTATTATTATTATCATCTTGAAAAACCTCTGGAATCGACCTATGAAGTCCTGATGTTTTAGCTGTTTACGTTAGACTCAGTTTTTGTAGACCATCTGAACTGCTTCAGTATTTCCTGCTGAGAAGTTTCTGAACTTCTGTCCTCCTCAGAGAACGTTTCAATTGTCATAGTTTGTTTAGAGCTTATTTCCTCTATAAGCATATGAGGTTGACAGGTATTATCTATAGCCGATGCCTCTGCCTTCTACTCGGCTTACATTTCAGCACCTTTTGCAACTCGTCAAGCTCAGATCCTGCCTGGGTCAGTCTCCTTGTGTGGATTATGTTACGGAAACCTAGGGACACTAACCTCTGGTTGCCAGTTTGGAATTGCAATTACTATAAATAAATACTCTATTCTCAAACCCCTAACATAGTTCGTACTATCCGTGAACGTCAACGTCCTCAGCTTCTAAAAAGAAATGAATTTTTGGACACTTGTTTAATTTCAGCTTTTTTTCGTGTTACACATCACCTTGAATTGAACAACCCATCAATTCTCCATGCAGTAGGCCACGAACCATACTTATTGCGTAAGTAAATGGGTAACAATACTGCCCTGGCCCTTCCGGCTGAAAATCAATTGCTTAAGCCAATGAGTTATTTTAATAATACCCACCAGTGTGTGCAACTCACAACTGCTTTTAGTCTATAGCAATATACAATTCGATATAGCTTCAAGTCGATGAACGAGTCTGGTCTAATTATTGCATAGGTAACCTGGAGGGTGCCACATGCAGGGTATGACTTGAAGTCGTCTTGTCAAATTTACGAATACAATCTGGTTTAACTTCGGGATGGAGGTTCCTATGAAGAAGTGGACTGTTACTCAACAAAAAGGAGTGGGAATTATTCCCTATAAGAAACTTTAAGTGGGACTGCTTAACTGCATTGCTGAAAATCACTACTCTTGGGGTCTTATGGTTTGACCTTACTTAAGTTACTCGTCATCCAAATGAGATTGTTACTTCTCACTGATATAAAATCCATTGCATTAGGTTTTGGTGCTAAAATATTAAACAAAATAAACTAGTTTGAGAATTGTGAGGTGACAGTGAAGCTAAATTTCTCTGGAGCTATGCAAAATAACCTCATTAATTAATTTGACAGTGAAAGAGACAAAATTAAGTGATTCTGCAAAAAGTAGGATGTTAAGAGGTGTACAGTCTGTTGAATTCACCATTTACGATCTGACCATTCCAAAACGAGCAGTGTGGACATCACATTAATGACGCCGGAATAATCTACGAGAGCAAGGGGGATACCTCATATTGACCATATTTTACCTTCAAAGCATTGTGGGACTACGTTTACTCCACCCACATTTTTAAAAGGATGGCTTTCTTGAGGAATACGCTAGTAAGTGACTAATTAATGAAGACCCCGTTTTATTTAATCAACTATAGAATATACCAGTGTTAAGTTGTACTTCACTGCACTTCACTTTTCCAAGACCAGCTGATTCTAATAGGACGATAAATCTATACTAAATATAAATATAAGAGAGGAAGAGTAAAGAAACCTCAAATACTAAATCTTAAGAATGAACTAAATCTTTTAAAACCAAGATTAATATAACTGTTGAGACCACATTCTTAGATTCATAGTCATAAACAGAAGAACCACTTACCGCGCTTTTATACAACACAGGGCCGCGAACAATAGTATGAGCAGCTGAATCGGGAGGCCCAGTATTATGAGAATGAATGGATGACTGGTTTGTCTGTCCTACAGCAGCTTGATAGTACATAAGTGGGTTAAGGCATCCTGCAGACCCATAAGGAACAGATGGCAAAACACCAACTCCCAAATTTGCAACCGGGATTACGCTGGCTGCATTAATGATTGGCACGGCAAGACCCATACATAGATTCCTCATGGGGGATGGGTGTCCAGCGAAATGTAGACCAGACGGCTGGCCTGTAAGACTTTGAATATTAAGCCCATTCGCATTCAGTAGAGAAGCATTAAGGAGGTTTTGAGGGACAGAAAGCAAGTTCGCAAAACTATCAACGCTCCCACTTGGAAATGGGATCATACCACAATCTGCCGCCAAAACATTTAATTCAGATGTCCCGCCTAATTCTGTGGGAATCAAGATTCGTTCTTAGTTTTGTTGATTAAGGACAGAAGGCTTTAAGCCTATGTTAGTCCCTTCCAAGTAAATATCTGTGCCCGTTAAAACCCTTTTTGAATGAATCAGCTAAAGATGCAGACACCACTTCTTCTGGGAGTCGGTTCCAGGAGTTAATACCTCGATGTGAGAACCAGTACTCCACAGTGATATAATTTCTCCTCTAAGGCGTTCCGACCTGGTGGGAAGAGAAAGAGAGAATAGATCTGGTCCTCAGTCATTGTCTAAGGTTTTAAACATTGTAATGAGACCTCTCTGCCTGCAATATGAGAAGGGAGATTTAAACAGGTTATTCTTTCCTCATATGACAAACTAGCCATGACAAGAATCATACGTGCTACCTTCCTCTGAACCCTTTCTAGAATATGTGCGTCCCTTTGAAGACGAGGACTGGTTGCCTGAATAGAGCTTTCCACTCTCACTTCACCAGAAATGTTTATAAAGAGGTGAAAATGTCCCTGGTGATTGTTGTGAAGACATTGAAAGTTTCCCATAAAGATTTGAAACTACGTGCTGCCACCTCTAGGCAGTCTTCGCTTACTATGACACCTAGGACCAAATGAGTCCGAAATGATGGGAGTGTTATTCCCTCTAGTTCGTAGGAGCTGACGCTTGCGTATCCAATGCGCATGGTTGCGCATTTAGCAACCTTGATTGGGTGCATCCATTCTTTGGACCACTCTAACAATTTACTGAGGTCTCCTTGCAACACACACGCATCACTGTCACTCTTAAGCTACCTCGATAATTTCAGTTCATCTGCATATAGGACCATAGAGGAATCGGTGAAGATAATTTATTGATATACAAAATAAATAAGGTAGTCCTGAGTACAGTGCTTGTGGCAATCCACTGCATACTGTTGTCCAGGTGGAGAGTTTTCAGTTGATCCTCACTCTGTGTCTCCTACCTAGGAGGAATTCTCTAATGCAGTTTAGTAATCCGTAAATGTAGGTAAATGGTGCTAGTGAACGCTCTTGATATGGAAAATACCAGGACTAATTTTCGGAAGAGCGGTCTGCTTGAATTACCAGGCAGCCTGAATTTATCTCCAACACTTTGCGAACTTAGAAAAGGGAGTGGATTTTTGCACTCTCTTGTTTCATTTCAGCTTTGTTGGGCTAAACATCACAAAAGCTTATAGATAAAATTTAACTTGAATTATTCTGATTGAAGCTAGTTTTTTATAAGATTTGAGGTTACTCAGATATAGGAAGCATGCTTTTGTAAAATTTTCATGTTCTAGTCCTTCGTAACTTTATAAAATCCATGGTTATCTCACTGTCATTCCTTGGATAACATTTGGTTATTTCCTACAGAATCGCATTTAGTTTAGAAAAATATGCCCGTGAAGCCTAAAGCAGGATTTAATGAATTCATCAAATTTCGATAGAACTCGTCAGCTGGATACTTTACATAAACGGATATATACTTTTGAAATTACATTGGGAGATATAAGACTGAATTAGTCATGCAGAAAGACAGGTACAAATGTTTTCCAGGTCATGTTCAAATAGATAAGGGGATTATCACTCAGACTCCGACGTTGCTGTTTCCGTCTCTGGTAGGCTGGTAAGTATATTTGATGAAACATTACTAGGACGCTCTAACCACAGTGCACCTAGATCTGACAAAGACAAATCGCCTCTGGATTGTAGTCAGTCACTGCTCAAGTCAAAATGCCAACATGGCACCAGTGAGTGGTATGATGTAGCCTCTAGCAAAGAGCGAAGCATAACAACTACACTATTTGTGCTGTCCGTGGAGGATGGAGAGACAATTGTCCCAGAGCAGTATAGCCAATCGAAGGGAGCTTGGTGTCTCCAACAGTTCGCTTATCATCCAAAAAGTGGAAGAACCTAAGGCTTCAGACCCCAATACTGGGTTTGAACATGATTTCGGTCAAACCAATCTAGGCTACTAACAACAATAGCAACAGGCATAAACACTCATATGGAATTGGCCTTGTGGCCCGTGGGTGGGTGGAACGCGGAAGCATCAGAATGAATTAATAGTTTGCCGCACTGATGTCTGCAGTCTGTGGAATAAATGCACTGAGCTAGGTATTGGTAGATTGTGAAGACCAGGATGTGATCGCAACAAAGGAATCACGGTAAACATCCAAAATCAGTGACATTGAAGTTAACTTTCATCCTTCACAGTACACAGGGTAGGTCGACTAAACAGCAAATGGGGTGGAGTAGTGATTTGCCTCAAGAAGTACCTAGTTATGCGTGGCGTCGGAGTGCTTGCACTCAAATTGGATCATCGTTTATCAGACTGAAATGCAAAGGACAAAACTTCGACCCCATTGCAATATATCACCGTCAGGATTGCAATACAGACGATTTTCTGATTGAGATGCTAGGCTGATGGCGACATCATAACAACATCCGAATGCTGAAGCATCATAGTTGGTGACTTCAACTCACTAGGAGTTGACTGGACGCGCCTTACAAAGCCATACTCAGACAACTCCTTTGACTACGAACTGGTGGAAACTATCATTTCGTTAGCCCTAGAACAGTAAGTCAAAAGCCTGCATGCCGAGACTCAGCGCCTTTCATCAACCCTAGACCGGGCTTTCTTCATGGAAACAATGTGAAATTTATACAGCATCTTCCACCCCTAGAAAGGAGTCATCGCGCCTTGCTCACGTCCAAGTTCGTAACTGCATCACTATCCCAGGGAAATCCCATCTCTGTCAAACTTTTGGATTGGTGCGTAAAACCAGAGTCTCATGATGAAGCTGATGGGCTCCAATTAAGGCAATTTCACGGCAGGGTATCTCAACCCCTTATCACGTAGTCTGTTCCAAAGGGCTGGAAACACCCCCCAAGAATAAACCGAGAGATTTGTTGATCACAAAGACAAAAGCATGAATGCTGGAAGCTATCTACCAAAAATGGGACTTCGGGGGCTGGAAAGCTGTTGCACCGTCGCAGGAAATAGAGATACCGAAGGAATTTGTCAATCACAGACGGAGTTCCAAATAAATTTAGCTCAAAATGCAACACCACAATTCATGAGAATATTTTCGTAGATGAAGTCCAAGGGTGAAACATCTAACGAGAGTGCCAAAACTGAAGACTACAGAATATAAGGAGACTAGGAAGAAGCTGAAATAGAGACAGACTATTCCTCCAAGGTTTTCGGAAAGGGGTTTTAACGGCCCTCCACTGCTTCAGCTCTGACTACGTCGGAAGGAAATGAGGTAGATTTCAGTGACACCGAGCAAGACACCGTATCTCAATCGTTGAAATCCCGAACTTAGGGAAGTCACTGGGCCCCGATAGGGGCTTACATAGCCGGTCCATTGACTGCAATCCTCAAACTATCTCTTTTAAATGAGGTGTTGTTCTGAGTCTGGAAAGACACCATAGCAACTGCTTTCGGACAGTTTTCTTCAGAATCTTAATCAAGAATTATCGAGAAGTTATGAGAAAACTGGAAAACATCAGCTTGTAGTTGTGAGCACAGCACAGCTTCCTGGGAAACCTGTTTTTCCTGACAGATGTTCTTTCAACAAGAGAGAGGTGGGTCGATTCTAGGAGCAATCAGAAACCTGTTGAAGTCATTTTCACATATCTCAGCAGAGGTTTGGACAAATTGCCTTACTCACAAATAATTACGAAACTGAAAACTCTTAAAATTACGGGCTAAGTTCACCAAACTTGCCCCTGGCTGGTGAAGGAATATTTGGTACTTGGCTTCGTCGAACCCTTATGAGATTTTTTCTACGGAGTCTATGCGTACTCGGTATATTTAATAACCAAACGGCGAAGGCCCGAGTAAAAGTCCCAGTCCATCCACCTGAGTCATAAAATCATTCTTTTTAAGGAACCATGTCTGGCCTTAGCTAACATTGACAATGAAGTCAGCTTGGGCAATGTGCCGCAGTTCAGGTGAGACGGTGACCTCAAAGGCTAAGGTGGGATTAACACACACATTATTATACACCCTAATTATGTAAAGGGCACAAATTCACAATCGAATGAATTCTCATAGCTGTTATGGTTCCATCTATTGACCATCGCAATGTGGTAAAAACATGATTAGCAGCTCTGCTTTCTAAAGCCTGCAGTGGTGTGATCGAACAACATCAGCTCGGGGCTGAAATTCTAATAACTTAACCCATGGCTAGGAACTCAAACAGAATAAAATGACTTCTAACATAACCTGTTACACAAACTTGTAAAAAGCAGGTTGGTTAGAAGTCAGGTTACTACGGAAAGCGGAGTCGAAGCGAAATTCGCCAAACTGGAGAATACTTTAAATTTACAAGTGTGGGGTGTTTATTCATATAGGGTCCCTGAATAGGCGGTTGCTGATTAAGAAATTCAGAAGGACAAGGTGAATAACTAAGTAAGAACTATATTTCCCTTATCATTCCTAAGGCTTTGTTCCTCCACTGATCTAGTCTGAATGATGATGGCCCCTCAATGTGCTCGTCTAGGTTTCACCACTTCTCTTGCGAAAATGGTAGATGCATTCGATTAGGCCAGAGGAACGTTTCTTAGCCATTTGACAGTTACTGGGAACCAACCGCGTTCTTTCCTAAACGGCTTAGTCCTTAGGAAACAATGTGTTCTGCTTCTGGCAAAGAGCTGAATGAATATCCTTCAAAGTTTCTGACTAGGTTTCCTCAATTCATTGCTCACCAGAGTGCTTACAAAATACACACTCAGCACCAAGTGCCTCCTCATTTTATATGCTCTAGCGGTTAGTATTTCGGTTAAATATTTTTATACGAGAATCAGTAGTGAAGAGCTATGTCCGATCTCAGTAGGTTACAAAGTAAAGTCTTCCTTACCCTTTTCTTCTGAACTTGACTGAAAGCAAGGCAGTAAATACTTGTGACATAGGAAGTACACGCAGTGACTAGAAGGCATGTCGACTCAGAG